TTTTTTATTAATTTTAAGAATAATTTTTTATAAAATTTTAAGTATAAAAAAAGCTTGAGTGTAAAAATAATAAAATTATAAATAATTTTAAAAAAAATAAATAACAGAGTAGTGAATTATTCTGTAAAATAATTGACAGTAGTGTATACGAGAATGAGGTCAATAACTAGGACACGGTTAGTAAGTAGGTCATTTACCCTAGTCCTGGAATATAAAATTTAACTATCATTCTTTTCTTTTATTTTTTATTAAATAAAATTTAGTTTATTAAATAAACAAATTTTTTTTGTTGTTACCTAGCTATTAAAATATTTTTCCTATATAATTTTATTCCCGTTTGAAAATTAATTAAAAAAAAAAAAAGTTTGAAATTTTAGTTGGTAAAAATAATAGAGAAGCGCAGATTGATAAATTCTTTGATTTTAATTGGACAGAAATAATTAAAAAGTAATTACTAACTCAATTATACGAAATTCAGGTTGAAAGTTCAATGGATTTAAATTAATCATCTGCTGGTGCCTTGAGCAGAAAACTTTTTTTTCAATTTTCTCCGCGGTCTCCGGAGGCTTATGTAATTTTGGACATGCAAATAAAGGAATAAAATGGAAATGTCAAAAATAAGAGGATACATAAAAGAGAAAAGGAGAGCCAATGCAGTTGTTATCATGATCCTGCGGACTTTGGACATAGATTTGCGACCGCGCATGTATAAGATATCTAAACTTTTATTTATTTTGAAATTTGTCAATTTTGTCTTAAAAAAATTTATTAGTTGTTTTTAAATTTTATTCCAACATTAATCAAAACTTGAAAGACTTTTTGTCTGAGTCTCAGTCATAAAAATTTTTATTATAAAAGTATCTCGAAATTTATCTGAATTTATATTTCATTAATCCAGATTTTATAGTAATATATTGAAATTTATTCTATTGTTAATTTTATTAGTTTTTTAACGGCGCTGGGGCTCGAACCCTGACCCTTTGCATTAGAGTCATGCGTCTTCCAATTTACGCTACAGTGATCTTACGATACTTTTTCTCTCATGCATAAATAACATTAAAACTTCTGAAAGGTCAAAAAAATCACGTTAAAGTTTGAAATTAATCACTTTAATTGATTTTAAAAATGTGGGATTTTTTTTTTATAACTTTCAAACAAGTAGATCGATTTTTTAGACACCTAAAACTTTTCACCTTGTAATTAATGGTTTTTATAAAAAAGCCAAGTCTCACACTCGACTGATAAAATACAGTAACAATAATTCGGTGAGAAGGATTTAAAATCAAGGTTGTATAATAAGAGATAAATTACTATGACATTTGACATATACTTTTGTAGATATTTAACAGTTGTTCTACTTACTTGTCTGTTGAATAATAATAAAGTAGAAAGAGTAGAGTCATTACGTAGCCTGCAGAGCTACGTAATATCACAGTCTGGCTTAGTAGTCAGGTCAGTTATGTCTAGTATAGTCCATCCAGCGGTTCCAGGTCTATATATCTAATATATACGTGTAAATGCATCACTAATATATATTTTGTCTCAAGTTTTTAGTGAAAGTAATCAGTGTTAATGCAGACGAAACTCTTTATCTGATATACTTTCTTCCTTAATACATAATAAACTCATTCTTGTTTTATTTTATTCATTTTTTTTTTATTTCACATTTAAAAATTTTTTTTTTCATTCAAAAAATTTTTGAAAAAAATTTTATAGCAATAATTTTTTTTAAATTAAAAATGAATTTTTAATTAAAATTTTTTTCCCTAAGTTTGAAAAATTTTCTATATAATTTATTTAAAGTCGCTAATTAATATTAAACAAGATCCTTTTTACGTCAACAGATCATTAATTACCATAACACGGTTGCTAATTTTCCCAGCAACGTTAAAATTAAATTTTAAATAAAAGTGACCGAGCTGATAGCGTATCTTTGTGCAAGCCGTGCTTAGTTTTATCAGTAAAGAGTATTTTTTTATCGAGAAGAAATAAAAATAAAAAAGAAAAGATAAATAGGCGGCTGACAAGTCGTTAGATGTTCTACTTTACCCTCGAAACATCGGGTTGATTCAATTAAAATCTTCAACGGAAATTAACCTTTTTGGCTCTCGCTACCGAGGGTTAATATTATTATTATTATTATTATTATTATTATTATCATTCAATTACAATCCTATAGATTAGAAATATTTCAATTTTCTCTCGTCAAACGTCAATAACGTAAATAATTCGATTACAACTTTAATCGGATTTTATTTTTCTCTTCAAATTTAGTTTTAAAATTACCAATTATCAATCACACTTGTTATTTTTAATTAAAAATAAAATAATAGGTAGTAAAATATAAAAAAATAAAATTCAATTAAATAAAAATTTAGTTTAAAAATTTTCTTCCAATAAATTGCATGACGCGTCACTGAAATTTATCTACATAACATTAAATATATATTTATAGAATCACGTATTGGTCAATAGAAGCCTCAAATGTGAAAAATCAATCGTAATGTTTTAGTGCTTTCATTCATTTTCAATTAAATTAACTTTGGTATAAAATAAAAAAAACATTATAAATTATCAGTACGTCGCTATTATTTCCATGAAGCTATTTCGAATCATAAATTTACCGTTCAATTAAATTTTCATCAATTAACTAGCTGAAATAATTAATAGTTCAATAAAAAGTGATTTTATTTTTTCAATTTTGAAATATTAAAAATAGTTTTCTTTTAAAGTACACGAAGAAAATTTTATAGTAGAGTAGTAAATATTATATTTAAATAATTAAGTAAACCATCTGAATTGTAGTATTTACCATCCTGATGATAACTATTACTATTATGATGGTTAATCAATAATAATAACTGTTATTATTTTAATTAGTTATTACTATTATCAAAATCGTTATTCCTAATATAACCTGATGGTTATAGTTACCATCAGTAATAATAATAACTACTATCTAAGCTAGTAAAAAATATTAAAAAATTTAAGAATCTGCGTTACCGTGGATGCATTTTTGAATAAACTAAAAGCAGCTGTAGTGCACAAAAAATCGGGATTAAATTCGGATTGAAATTATATTTAAATTTTTATTTTTTTAAAACAAGTTTCAACGTCAAATTTTTGAAAAAAAATTTGAAATTTTCAAAAAAATCAAAATTTTCAATAAAATTCAAATTAAAAAAAAAAATTAAAATTTCAAAAAAAAAATTTTTAATCTTCAAAAAAATCAAATTTTCAAAAAAAAATTTTGAAGGGAATTTAAAATATTTTAATATTTCAAAGAAAAAAAATGTGCATTAGCTAAAACATGGATGTAAATAAAGGATTTAATTAAGTAAATTTATATTATTTTTCTTTCAGAATTTTTACAATCTGAGATGGTTACAATTACCATCTTCGATTGTAACAGTTATAATTTATAATAATTACAATTATTATTTTTGATAGTAATCGTTACCATTGTTAACAGTAACTATTAAAATTGTCAATGATACCACCTATTATTTTTTTACTAATTAATTTTATTACCATTATAGATAGTAGGAGTTATTATTTTTGTATAGTAGGTAGTATAATTAATTTTTCTCCGTGTAGTAAAAAATTTATAAGGACATTTTTATAGATAATTTATTTTCTTACAAAACAGGTATCTTATAATTTTTTCGTATCTCCAATCCTTAATCCATAATTTGATATTTGAATTTGTACCAATTATATCGTATGCAAATTAAAACTATTAATTTTTTTCAATTATAATAATTGTTAATTTAAAAAAAAATTAAAAATATTTTAATATTTCAAAGAAAAAAATGTGCATTAGCTAAAACATGGATGTAAATAAAGGATTTAATTAAGTAAATTTATATTATTTTTTCTTTCAGAATTTTTACAATCTGAGATGGTTACAATTACCATCTTCGATTGTAACAGTTATAATTTATAATAATTACAATTATTATTTTTGATAGTAATCGTTACCATTGTTAACAGTAACTATTAAAATTGTCAATGATACCACCTATTATTTTTTTACTAATTAATTTTATTACTATTTTAGATAGTAGTAGGAGTTACTATTTTTGTATGGTAGGTAGTATAATTAATTTTTCTCTGTGTATAATTAATTTATTTTTAACTTTAAAATTTTTTAAATAAAATGTTTCCTTTCTTGCCAAATTATTTTTACGGTCAATAGCAATTATAAACTCTCGACAATTTTCCACACTTTAAACCCTCAGTACAATAACCAGTCCACCGAATTGGGAATAAATATTGAAACAGTTTGTCACTACCAGATAATAGTTAAATAAAAATAAAAATCTAAATTTATTTAATCAATCATATGGAAACAAAATTGATTAACAGTTATTGTTATCACAAATAATTAATTAACTTTAGATCTGATCCCATTGACCCCATTTAGAATAATTATTAAATAATAATAATTATAATATGTATATTGTATTTGTATTTTCGCAGTGATGATGCCACGGAGAAGCTGATAATCACGGTCGTCAACAATGATGTGACAATAAAGATACCTCCGTTTATTCTCGATCGGGAATTATAAACCGATCATCTGTGCTACCGAGTGCTTCCGTTTAAAATAACAACAAATGAATTTATAATTAACACCATTAAATATCGCTCATTAATTTAAAAGGAAAATATAAATCGGCTGATAAAATTGGTGCCAAATAAAATAAAATAAAAAATACCAAAGAGAATAAATAAATACAATTATTTATTTAAAATAACTAGATAAAATAAAAAAGCCAAATAAAATTGTGTCAAAGCGAGGGAGAGAAAAGACATCGAGAGATGAAAGACTAAATAAAGTCGATTTAAAGATGAGAAAATAATATTACTTATAATGAATTGAATTGGATTTATAATTCACCAATAAAAAGTCTAAGAGAAAGATTAAGACAAGGAATAAAGTATTATTATTATAATTGTTATTATAAAAACTTCAGTATTGATATTTAAACTCGAAAATGGGAAACAAATTATCAGCATGCAGTTGTGCGCCTTTGAAACGAGGCTACCGCGACGACGAATCCCCATGGCAGACAGGTGGAAGAAGTAGCGGCAGCCACAGGGGAGATTCTGCCCACTTGCTCAGGTGCGGAAGCGTAATAGAAAAGAAGAGGTGCGCATACCATCCCATTAAACCATTTCCATTTAATCACTCTCTGTCAACATTTAATTCTCTGTAATAATTATTGTTAAACACTGATTTAAAAAATTTATTTTATTTGAGAAAAAAATTTTTAACAAAAAAATTTTTTCTCTTAAAGGGGATAGCCACTGTGAGGATCGAAAAAATAGATGATTTTCGAGAATTTTTTTGACTGGGATATTAAAGGAATTTAGGGATCGGGTTTTTTTTTTGTTTTATAAAGTATACATTAAAGATTATTCTCCTAAATTTTTATTAAAAAATATCATGTTGTTACAAAGTTTACAAAAACATTTCCCCCTCCATGATGCGATCTCTAACTCAAAAACGGATTATCTAAAACAAAAAAACGAAAGAGCGTACCCGCATGGAGAAACATATATGTCAAAAATATATGCCGCATATATTTACGCAAAAAAAAAAAATATGTCAACATATATTTTTCACATAGATGCTGACATATATTTAGACATATATGTAAGCATACACTGAAAAAAAAATTTCTAAGTTTGAGAATTTTTTTACTCAAATCAAGAAAGTTAAAATTTTCAAAATTATTTTCTTAATTCAAGTTAAATTTTTTTCTGTGTATCTATAGACACTTATATGCGCACATATATGTGAACATATATGCGGACATATATTTAGCGCAAAAAAAATATATGTGAAAATATATATTTGCATATATATTTTTCGCATATATATTTTTCCATGCGGGGTTGTAATTTGCATGCGTGTGGTTATCGTTGCACGTAGGGGATTTTGAAAATTTTGATTTAAAAAAATGGCGACATTAAAAATTTTTTCGATTTTTTTTCCTCATTTTTTTGGATTCAAACAGCCCTAAAAAATCTTAAATATCAAAATTTCCAAAATCCCCTACGTGCAGTAACTATAGTTATAGTTACTGAATAGACGAATACGGAGAAAAAAAAAAGTTGCAGATCGGTTCATATTTATGTAAATTACAGTTTTTATCAGTTCAACAAAAGTAGTTTCGAGAAAAACGCGTTTTCGTCGGAGTGCCGCGCGTGTAAAGTCATTTGACGCGCTATCACAAAAATGACTATAGCTCGGAAAATATTCGAGATTTTGATACCAAACTCTAGATATATATTTTTGAATCTATAAACTTGGATTTAATAAAAAAAAAAATTTTTTTTTTTTTGAAATTTCACAGTGGCTATCCCCCTTAAATTAAGTTGATTTTTTATCAGTGTAATATTATGCCATCAGTACACAAGTCTTTCAATAAACTGAATGAATTTACTGATGTATGATAGATTACGACACGTGGTTACTTCACGTGTAGACCCTTGATGTATAAATTTATTATTTTTTTTTTTCATGTCTCTGTGACACATTTTTTTTTCTCTCAACCCCTTTTCAATTTACTCAAGTGTTTTTTGTGCACAGCAATTTCAACTGACGTATGTATCTTACAATTAATTTTTCACAAGTTGCTTATTCTAATGTAGTTTTACGATCATTGATTATCTATAAATCTATAATCTATTTAGAGATGGAGAATAAATATCTATCATTTTTTAGTCGTCAGAGTATTTTAGGTTTGATCACCGCGGGTAAAAGTGGAAGAATGTTTTTTTTTTTTATTTCATTTTTTAGGCGGCTTTTTGTTGATTTATTCGAGTCGGAAAAAAATTATTCTATCGAATTTTACATTTTTCACTTGAATTAAAAATATATGTAAATTTTATTGAAGTTAAAAAAAAATTAAATTTTGTCCAGTGATTAATATTTTTACACATAAAAAGTAATTTATAATTAAAATTACATATTGGTGAAGTTAATGAATAATTTAATGACTGCTTTTAATATTCACCTAATTAAAATTAAAAAACCTAATATAAAAATAAAAAACTAGTCTACTTTAATATAACTAAGTAATTTTTTTAATTAAACTTTATTCTTAAACTTTTTAATTTATTTAAGTAGGATGTGAATTTTTTGTATGAATAAAAAAACGTGAACTAGATTTTGACAGCGTTCTTTCGATCTTTTGATGTCACACTTTATTATCGAAAAGACGTAAAGCGAAAAAAAATGAAAAAATAATAAAATTTAAACCAGAGATCACTTAAAATTTTTTTAACTTATAATTATTCCATTAAATATTAATTACATCCACAAATAGAAAGTTATTACCGTGATTGAAAAGCATTAAAAATAAAATAATTAATTTGCATTGAAAATAAAATTACCTACGGCTATTAGCTTGTAAGCAGTTATCAAACAATGTTCAATTAAACGATGCCCGTGTAAAAATTATATGATATCATTATGAGGCTCATAATGAATATCATAATGAATCTCATATTTTGGCACTAATATGAGATTCATATAAAAGACATATCAATACATTTGGAATCTGTATTTAGTAAAGTACTTATGGAAACGAATTTTTTTTTAACTAGATTATAAAATTTTTATTTTTCTCATTGGAGAAAGCAAATTTCTAGTAATTTAAAATTATTATTAAATGTTAAATATAAAATTTGATCCACACGGATCAGTCTCATGGAGATTCGTGACAAATCTATAGTGACAAACGCATAATTTCATACTGAAGTCATAATAGTAACTGCGTAAACTTATGATGGAATCAGGCTGATATTTTTTTAAATTCATCATAATATTGTAATGATATTGTTGCCTTCTATTCATAATTCAAGAAAAAAATTTTTTGTAACTGTTGGAAATTCATTAAGACAGTATCTCCATGATGATATTAACATAATTTCATTATGAAATCATAATGATATTAAAATGAATTAATAATTAAATGATGATCATATCTTTATAAAATCATAATGATATTGTTAGTCTTTTTAAATCGTGATATAAAATTATTCAGTCACGACTATATACAGGAAATATTGCAAAATAATTAAATTAATGAAATTTTTAGGAGGATTTAAATTGTTTTTAAAATAAGAAAATAATTATCTTGAGACGAAAAAATCTTTTCAGTCAAAAATTATTTTTAAACCAAGATGGTCAGTGTTTTTCTAAATATTTTTCTAAGTTAAGAAAGACGAGGAGAAAAGTTAAGTAGTTCAACAGTATAGTGCATGATAAAAATACTGTTTTTCTCAATTATTCTACATTTCCTCTAATTAGCAGAAAAAATGAAAATTTTACTGATCTACTTAAAAAAATTCATTCCCACAGGTATTTTACTTATTACGGGTTTTTAAAGTATTGATATGACTCTTATATGAATCTCATATCAGTGCCAAAATATGAGATTCATTATGATATTCATTATGAGCCTCATAATGATATCATATCATTTTTACACGGGTGTTCATTTAATTGAGTCGAATAAATCTCTGAATAAATATCGAGGTGATATTTACTCTTCAATTTTTTTTATTAAAAAAAAAAAACATCACAATTTTTTTCCATGTCTTCCAATTTTACATTTCTACACGGAAAAAAAAACAGGAATAATAACAGTATAAAATATAAAATCGGTCCCATCGTAATCAAAACTAGAAAAATTACAGTTTGAAATAATATTTTTCTAAATTCAATTTTTGAATTTAATTTTCAGAGCTTTTAATGTAAATATTACATTCTACAATGTAATTCTTATAAAATCTGTAATAATTACAATCTGAAACTGTAATTTTTCCAGTTTTCATCAAAAAGCGCCACGTCGCACTATATACTGTAATTTTTCCAGTTTTCTTTTTTCCCTGTAGATTACTTAGACGATAAAAATTGATAGATAAGTTCTTAGCGAAAAATTTTCAAAGGTTTCCTCTTGAAAGGGATTCCGTCAGATGTTTAAATTTTCTTTGATAACAGGAAATATATATTGCTATTTAAATTTTTCAAACACTTCACAATCACTCACATTATCAATCACTTGGCATTATCAATCATGTGTATATATTTGTCATTCCTTTCATCTCGCCCTGCAACTAATGCTTTGCAAATCTTTATCTATATTATAAGCTTAAGTTTCATTATTCCCTTCTTTTGCATGTCTTATTTTGAACTTCTGTATTTCCTTTAATTAATTCAAAAAATTTATTAATTTTTATTTTTCAAAGAGCTCCAATCGCAATCAATGTTAATTAAAAATATTCATAAAAAATTTAATTATTTCTTCATATTAAATTAAAAATTTTTATTCTATATTTTTTACCTTAAAAATAAAAAGTTTAAAGTAAATTGTAAAGCGACTGGACTTCTTTAGGCTGAGACAGTACCAAAAAAATTTTAATAAATTTTATTACTTTAATTACGAAATAAAATTATCAACAAGTTTATTTGATAAATTTTTTCATACATAGACACCAACGAACACTCGATTAACAAAATTTTGAGTACTTTCAGATTGTGGGCTGAAGTTTTTCACGTAAGTGCGGCTGGACAAACAGGTCTTGTCAAATGGCAGCAAGTTTCAGAGGATCTTGTGCCCGTGAATATTCGCTGTCTTTCGGATTCCCCTGAAATGGTCTTCCATATTACCGCCTACAATAGTCAAGTTGACAAGATCCTAGATGTACGACTGGTCCAACCAGGTCAGTCTTTCTTTTTTTTCACAGAAACTTATAATATTTACTTCATTAATACAAGACGGAAAATTTTATTGTAAAATATTTAAATTAATAAGTGTACTTTTTAAAATTTTTATTTTAGCAAACTTTATAATAAGTTTACTTAACAAGAAAGTTAATAATCAATAAAAGTAGTTTATTGGTAAAAATTAAGTTTTTTTTATCTTACAGTAAATATTAAAGTTCAGCTTATTTTATTTTTTTAAATATTAAATTGAAGACTTTAAATATCTGGATGATATTTTAAAAAGTTCAAGTATAAACTTTATTATAAAGTTTATAAATATTTTTTAAACTAAAACTTTTTTTTTAAATAAAATAATAAAAAATAAAATTTTCCAATTAAAATCCCAAATTGTTTTTTTTAACAAATAAGATCTTGTTATTTAATTTATACACAGTAAAAAATTTTTCGTCATTGTGTAAAGTGTAAAAATTTGTGTGTAAAATATTACACTGTAGTGTGTAGAATTTCAAATTCTAGTGTTTTAAAATCAACACATGAGAATGTTAAATTCTACACACAAATTTTTACACTGTATACAATGACGAAAAATTTTTGACTGTTTATAAATTGCAACACATAAAAAAAAATGTTCTTGAATCAAGTATATAATTTTGAAGAACTTAAGATTCTTGATTTGAGTAGAAAAATTCTTGATTTAAGGAAATTTTACTTGATTCAAGAATTTTTCGTCTTGATTCAAGACAATTACCCTCTTCAAAATTATATTTTTGGTTCAAGAATTTTTCTCTTGAATTAAGTTAATTTTTTTTTTCAGTGAATGAAAATTAAGTTTATAAATAAAAATACGCAAAAAAATGCCACTGAAGTTAGCAGACGTCTAAAAATTTTTGATTTTTTTTTTTTTTTTAATTAAATTACAATTAAAAAGATATTTATAAAAAATTGCACTTATAGTTTTCCAATTGTTTAACATGTGAATTTTTTTTTTAAATTGTTTAATTGAAATTTTTTTAATAAAAAATTTCTAAAAATTTTGAAATGTCAGCTAACTTCAGTATTATAAAAAAAAGCTCAAATTAAATGACTAAAAATTAAAATTAAAGGTACAAGAATCGGCCAAGCATCAGAATGCTTTATCTACTGGAAAGACTCAATGACCAATGATACATGGGGTCTAAACTTTACCTCTCCAATAGACGCTAAACAGTTCAAAGACTGCTGCGTAAGTAATCGTACATACATATTAATATTAATATTAAATCAAGTATTTCCGAGGCGAATGTCAGCTTCAGCTAAATGAACAGTAATAAAAATAATAATAGTAGACAGAACATGTAGCCGGAGATGTAGATGCGTTTTATCAATAAAATAACAAAGTGGAGTTTATCCGGGCGAATGATTGACATTTTATCTTTGGCCTTTCCAGTCACCCTCGACGAAAACACCCCGCAAAGCGCCTTCTTCGTATTCCCTGAAGCTGGAGCCTCCCAACAAGCAAAAGGTCAAAACACGGATGAAACCTCTTTCTACACCAGCTTCTCCTAGTCGAACAAAAGCTCCGCAGTGCACTTGCATGGTTCCTGAGCAACTGAGAATTTCACGGACTCGAGACCAGAGATTTTCAGCAGGTCCTTGCGGTGAGTTAGAATTACTAATTGTAATTATTTATTTAACTCTTGAATTAGCTAAATTTATTCACGGTGTAGAAGATTCCAAGATACTTAATTCACTGGGTGTATTTTTAGTGTCAAGTTCAAGTCTGCTGGAATATAACTAAGGAGCCTCGGTGGATTATTTATAAATTATTGATAGCTGATTAAAAGGATAAATTATTAATATATTATTATTTGCGCAGGCCCCGTGTCGTTACCTAGAAACATGGTACTGAACCCCCGTTCCGGGGATGTAGAGATGACGCCTGGACGTGACAAGATAGGTAACAACGCAACATCCAGCGTTTCACTTTACGACAATGTCAATAATACTACCGATACACCAGGTAAAACATCCAAGTACGGTGATACGTCAAGGCACATCAGTAAAGACAAACAACTACAGAATGAAACATGCCAGACAACGCCCAAAACTGTTAACGTTGCTACTGGCACAGCTACTGTTGGTTCACAGGTATTATTTTTTTTTTATTTTTATTTAATACATTTTATTGGTTTATTTCAATTAAAATTTTTTATTTTTGAGAATTTTATTTTTTAAAGTAATTTTTTTTATTAAAAATATAAAAAAATAAACTATTCTATTTTTTAACAGTAAATTTCAATTAAAATTATTTTTTTTTTTTTAGGAAAAAATTTTTCTACATTTCTTTACTATTAATAATATTTTTAATCTTAAAATTAGAGGAAAAATGTATTTTTATGAGAAACTTTTGAATTAGATTTTACAAAATAAAAAATTGAGATTAAAGTTTTTTTTTTTAATAAATAGTCAAAAAATTTGCGTTAAAAATAAAGAAGAAAAAATGAATTATTTTTATTTAATACATTTTATTGGTTTATTTCAATTAAAATTTTGAGAATTTTATTTTTTAAAGTAATTTTTTTATTGAAATTATAAAAAAATTACTTATTTTAATTTTAAACAGTAAATTTCAATTAGAATTATTTTTTTTTAAAGGAAAATATTTTTCTACATTTTTTTACTATTAATAATATTTTATATCTTAAAATTATAGTAAAAATTTATTTTCATGAGAAACTTTTGAATTAGATTTTGTAGAATTGAAAATTGAGATTAAAGTTTTTTTTTTTTTTAATAAATAGTCAAAAAATTTGTGTTAAACATAAATAAGAAAAAATGAATTATTCAACACAATGAAAATAATATTGTTGGTAGAAATATTAATAATAATAACAATGATAAAATTTGGTAGATTGATAGTCCAGATGACAAAGGTACAACGATATCACCTAAAAAAGGAATAAAGCGTCAAGACAGTGCGACACAAAATGGGAGTGAGTCTCTGAAGTCAGAAAGCATACAAGTAGGGGGTACATTAGGTAGCAAATTTCGTAAAGAACAATTACACCACACAAAATCAGCAGACTACACGGAGTACGAAATGCAAAATGGTAATTTCTTCAACATCGTTAATAACAACAGCAATCATGGGAGTAGAAAATCCAAGAGTAAGAGTACGGACGATATGAGAATTGAAAATGCTCAAAACGGCGGTATTAGCCTTGATCCGAATACATTGAAACGGATGCTCAAACCAATGTCAAGTATTGACAGTCCAGCAACTTCACCAGAAATGACGAGAAAACGTCATCCTCATGCTCACACTCATCACTATTATCATCCGAATAATAATAATCAGAGGTACATACATTCCGAACCGGAAAATGATAATTATGCTCATCCATACAGAAGCCCCTATAATAATAAATTTCAAGGATCAAGAAGTGTTCATGAAATGACTCGTCAATACTCTACTGGTACGTATTGTTTTCTTCTCTTTATTACTCTTATCGTTTTTTTTTAATATGTAGGTTTTGATTATTACAATGTTATGGATTTTCTGTTGTTATACTCAGCTTATTTCGTTTTTGAGTATTGATCTACATTTTTATTATTCATTTCATTCAATAGCTTCCACCAATCAAACTCTTTCATTAAACTCAACTTTTCATTTTTATGCAATCTAGTGTTTTTTCTTATTGCATTTATTAATCATTTTTTTAATATAAAGTGAATGGAGTTTTTTAGACAGTTTTCTTGCTAGTGTAATTATTACAATTTTTTTGTAGATATTTTTATTTTTTTATTCTAAAATAGTTGAGAGATCAACAAGAATAATAATCAAAGTAGAAAAAAATTAATTTCAATTTTTTTTAAATTATTTTTCAGTATAAAATTAAGTCTTCTCATTTTATAAAAAAAAAAAAATTATTAATGTCAACAAATTAAAAGAAGAAAACAATTAACTTAATTTTTTGATCAAAAATTCTTCAGATTATTTTACTCTGCAATCAAGCAATATTTAAAAAAATTATGATAAATTTTTTAACTTATACAGAGAGCTAAAATAAAGTATAGAATATTATTCAATTTTTAATATCTTCATTAAAGACAGATGTACTGAATCTCTCAACTAGAGTATTAAAAAAATATAAAAATTTCAATTTTAAATAAAAAAAAATCTTGTTTTTTCTAAAAAAATTTTTCTTATTTACTTTTTACATACCACGAGTTTTAATTAAAAAAAAAAAAAAACTTGTAATATGTAAGAAAAAATATTTTTTACTTTATCGATTGCTTTATTTATTAAATATATATATATATACAGTGTATGTTCCAATTAGTGACCATACTTCATAGCGCTAATTACCCAACTAGATAAAAATTTTCGAGTTTGTTATTCTGCCAACAAATACTTAAAAAAAAATGACTCAGCCATTACGCAGTTGAATAATTAACCCTTACATTTTTAATGTAAATAATGTAAGGAATAACTAGCGAGTGCATAATCGAAGATAAAAAAAAAATGAAATGAATTGTAAGGGTAGTTTAATAAAAGAGGTCAGTAATTGGAACAGACATAATGGGGACAGTCACTTTATCGGAATTTCGGCATTAGCTAACGAAAAAAGCGGTTGTAATATTGTTAATGAAGAATGAGCTATTATAGAGGTCTAGAGACCTGCTGCACCATTTGTTGAGTACTTGCACGTTGCGTATCTGCTCTGTCTTAGGCGGCAGAGGCAGGATGTACTTAGATTTGGAACGTAATCGGTGCACAGGTGACATGTCCCCACCGTCAGACAACGTTATCTTCGACAATCAGTGCTACGCAACAACGCCAAGTTCATCTAATGGTAATTCAGATATGGAACAACCGAACCACTGCAGTGCCAGACGTTACAACGGCCAGACATATCATCAGCAGCACCACCCGCAGCAGCAACAGCAGCAGCACCATCAGCAGCACCACCACCCGTATCAGCAGCAGAACATCCAGCATCAGCAGCAGCAACAGCAGCAGCAAAATATGCAGCAACAGCAGAACATCCAGCAGCAGCAGCAGCAACAGCAGCAGAATATGCAGCCCACTTCCACCCCCGGGAGTCCGACCAGCCGTTTATTGCTCGAGTACGAAATGCATTTGAGAAACACTCTTGCGAAGGGAATGGACGCTGAAAGCTACAGTCTTCATACCTTTGAAGCGCTTTTAACTCAAAGCATGGAAAATCTAGGTCAGAATACGCCTCAGCTCAGGTTTATTTATTTATTTATTTATTTATATAGTTTGTTGGTATTATTTTAATTAGAGTTTGTTTTATTTTTCTTCCGTTTTATTCCTTTCGATAATTTTTATTATTTTATTTTATTCAATTTTTACTGTTATTTTCTTTACTATAAAATCAATGAACTGGGAAAATTTTAAAAGGCCAAAGGTGTTTTTTTTTTTATAAAAACTGATTTAAGTTAAGGATGAGAGAATATTTTATTGTTTTATAATTATAAATTTTTAGTTAAAATTTTATTATTCTTTGTCTGGAAGAAATAAAGAAATAAATAAATAACTATTAGTAAATTATTGATAAAAAATGGGGATTTAAAAAATTGCATGATAAAAAGTAAACTGTAAATTCACTCAGATTCCGGTTAATTTTTATAGTTTCTAACACGGCTGCCCAATTTTAAAACACAGTAACTTACAATTTTAAGATTTTTAAAAAATTTTCTTGTTAAAAAAAAATTACGCGCCTAATTGATAAAAAATTTGATTTATCAATAGAAAATACTTGAATATAAATATTTTTAAGAATAAATACTTAAAATTAAGGTCTAAAAGTCATAAGTAATGCAGCAATACTAAAAAAAAAATCACACTGATAGAAGGATTTGTTTATAGTTAAAAATATCTATTAATATTTAATAAATCATTTATTAGAGACCACTTTATAGTCCTTAATAAATATTTTTTAGTATTTAAAAAGATTTATTGATATTTAATAAATGAATATCAGATTTATTAAATGCAAACAAATCATTTTAAATACTAAGAAATATTTGTTTAATACTAAAAAGTGGTTTCTAATAAATGATTTGTTAACTATTAACAAATATTTTTTGGTACAAAAAAATCCTTCTATCAGTGCAGGTATAAAAATTTTGCAGTTACTGTATTTTAAAATTGGGCAGCCGAACAGTACAGAGAACATCGGGATAGCAAAAATATAAATATTACAGTACTTGATGTAGAAAGTGTAAAAACGACAATTTATAATTTAATATCGAAAATAATTGATGAGTAGCTGTCACTATAGTAAATAACGACTGTCATCTTAAAAAATTACAGTTTTAAACAGTAAAAATTGCCGTTTCAATATATAGTTCATTCTATTGAGGAGAAGGGGGTCTCAATGTAGGAGAATTTAACATTTGAAACAGTAAAAATTCTACTCTTAAAATATATATTTTACCAGTCCAAGCAAGTCAATAATTATAGTTTTATTTTTAGCGTTGCATTTAGAATTTACCAGTTTACTTTATAAATATTGACGTTGTTTGTATTGGAAATTTAGTAACTATTTTATATTTTTTACATACTATGTGATCATTTTTTAGGTACAAAATGATAAATATCAAAGTCAAAATTCTTAATTATTATACTTTAACATTTTCGATATTCGCATAGCAAATATTATTGTTTGAAATAATGTTTTCTGCTATGTAAAGTATAAATTGTAGCATTTAAATGATAAATATTATAAAGTGATTAGTAAAATCACGATTTTACTGTTTGAATTGGTAATTTATAGCAGTTGATCATTACTTATCATAAATCGACTAGTATTTATTACAGTTTACTTTTTTCCGTATAATTATTTAAATAAAAAATTTATAAGGGAAAAAATAAAAAATTTTTTTTATTGTAGAAAATTTTAATTAAAAATGACTGAATTTTCGTTTTAAAAAGTATAATATTTTAAAACTGTAGTAACGTTATTAAAATTTATTTTTATAGAACTGGCAGAAAATATTCCGATGAATGTTCAACGCACCCCGCACGCATCGCGCAAGCGTAAGTACAAGTTTTATAATTAACTTTTTTTTTTTTTATAAAAATGTAAGCATTACACTATCTAACCATAATAAATAAGCTCAAGTACCGGTAATGAGCGTTCCTCGTCGTGAAAAAACTGCGTGTTATGTTGAATTTAAATCACCGTCTCATGTTACCTGTAAAATATTCGCTCAGTATGAACGTACAGTGTACTCGGATATTAAAAATGATAAAATTAATAATAATATCAGTAATATTGTTAATGATCTAACGAAAAATGTGATAAACAATGACTTAGGTCCAAATTCCAACAAATCATCGACGCTGCCGCTGTCCTATCGCTATTCAAACGACCGGCAAAATAGCAAGGATCGCGACGGATACTACAGCGATCGCAATGAAATTATAAGGGAGAAGCGAGAACGCGAAGCTGTCGAACGAGAAGGATATCTCAGTGATTACAACTCTAAGTATGAACCCAAGTAAGTATTTTTTGATTGCTATAAATTTTGGTATAAAGTAAAAAAATAAAAAAAAATTGTTCCAGCGTATCGCAAAGATGTACCAGCTGCATCGGAGAATCAGCTAGAGCTCAATGGTTCCGACACTCAGATGGATGGCGATCTGGTAGCTCAACACTAGGATCAGCAGCCTCTAATTCTATAAATCTTAGTTATGACCGTGGACACAAGCGAGAATCGCCTTGGGAGTCATTGCCCTCGTTGCGACAGGAAAATAGTCTCAATGACAGTGGCTACAGGTCAAATAGAACTGACTCGATGGAACAACGGTGAGTTGTTATTTTAATTAGCCAAGTGTAATTAATTGCAATTTCTAAAACTAAACTCAGAAGTTATAGATTTTTTATATAATTTAGATTGAATTATTTTTTGATAAGAAAATTTTTCACATTGATGTCTTGAAGCTATAACATAATTATTTATTAATAAATTCAATTGAAAGTTTTAGTTGGAAGAAAATGTCTTTAAATGTCAGATCTTGCTCATCTATTGACGCTTTTACTTAAAGTGTTTATTAAAAGTTTATCAACTTTTAGATTTAATAAATAATTTTAAATTTATCAATATATTCTCAAGTTAAATTGATGGGACAAATATTTTTAAAGTTAAAGTTTTTTATAAATTATTGGTAAAAATAAGATAAAAGATTATTATAGTAAATAATCTAACAATTTAATAAATATTTATTATTATTATTTTTTTTTACAATTTTTAATTATTGATTTTATTTATTTTTTTTTATTATAAAAAATTAAATTTTCAACATTTTTAATTTAAGTAAAAAATATTTTTTTTTAATTAAAAAAAAAAACAATGAATAATAATAATTTTTAACTTTGCGTTAATTTTTAATAATAATTATTATTTTTTTATTTACAATTTTTAATTACTGATTTTATTTATTTTTTTTTATTATAAAAAATTAAATTTTTAATTTAAGTAAAAAAAAATTTTTTCAATTAAAAAAAACAATAAATAATAATAATAACAAATATTTATTAAAAATTTGTTAAGACTTGAATTTTTATTATTATTATGATTGATGATGGATAAATAAATGATGGAGTGATTTATTTTCTAGTGGAACATTTGATCGACAAGACAGTGTAAGATCAGATTACATGTCTGATAGAGACAGCAGATATGGAATTGTGCAACAAGCATCCTTGGAAAGTACAGACTCAAGACTCTGCTACTTGACGTCGTCAGAGGTGAGTGGTCATTGACCTTATCAGTTCTCAGTTGTCTTATCAGCGTCCAGATCTTTTCTTCCCCTTACTTTTGTAAGAGAAACCATTCATTATTTTCACCGATGTGACTATAAGCTTCTTTATTATTCTAGTAAGGGTAGAAAAACACTCCAGTTATTATTGGACACCCGACACCTGTATTACTGCAATTTATTCATCTCCTGATATTTAATAAATTATGTAAAGAGATAACGTATCGAGTTAGGTGTGATAAAAAATTTATAGTAAAAAATATTATGTAACTTTTTACACTGCATTAACTTTCAGTAGTTATAAAAATAAGTCACTTCATTATTATGATAGTGAAAATTTTAATGATCTAATCTAATGGAATATTCTTGAGAATAATTTATAATTAAAGCAATATTTATTATTATTATTTTAGGTGAGCTGCTTTTTGTGTAATAATATTTCATTTTGAAGCTAATTAATTATTTCAGCTCATAAAATATTTTACTAGTAAAAATTGCCAAGGTAGAAAATTAATATTGTAAATCTAGTTAAAATTATTATTTTTAAATTTTATTTATATTTTAAATTATCTACGGCTTTAAATAATATAAACAAAAAGTATTTTTAAAAAGTTTTGAAGTCTCTGATAATAAACGATACCTATTTTATTTTTTATACTTGGATAAATAACTGGAGCATTTTTTGTCTTACTCGGATGACGAATGAGAATTTAAAAGTAATTTTTCATAAAAATACATACAAATTTAAAAAATAAATAAAATGTTCTGTCTGTTATTTCGAGGAAATGCCAAAATTCTTTACATAGTTTAAATTTACATGCATACATTTGCTTGGACACCAAATAATATGAATGCAGTGAATTATTTAACGTATGAAAGTGCTGCCAAAAATTTTACGCGATCGACTTGGTGTGAAATTTCTTCAATATAAGAATTATAAATTAAAATTATATTTTTTGCTTGAAATTTTTTATTTTATTTTAAAATTTCAATAAAAAAAAAAAAAAAATGCCAGTAAAAACCGAACGAAAAATAAAGATATTTAAAGAATTCAATTTTTTAGAGTTTTTTCAATAAAAGAAGAATTACAGTCCGTTCAGTGTCACTAGAATTTAATAATAAAAAAATTTACGACATTTAGCTTTACATGAATATTTTTATAACTTCCGGAGAGAGAAAGAGAGGCATGTGAGGTATTCACTCAATTTGAATTCAACAGCCTCTGAAATCCAGTAAATTCCGAACAAACCCTTTCGCTTTGATGTCGCGATAAATTGTATCCAATTTCGTTATTTAAAATCAGAGAATTGAAATTTTCACAGCGCAATCTATCACTCTAGTTGTCAAATCTATTAAAACTAATGTTTTATATTATTATTTATTACTCAGCATTTACTGCATACTGTCAATCAATATCGCTGAGATCTAGTCATTTATATTTATTACGGTTCAATAAATATTTAAAATAACTTTTAACTTATGATAAAATAAAAAAAAGTTGAGCATTAAAGCAGATGAATTCATATCAAAGCTATTAAAAAATTTATCATAAAACTTTGCTAAATATTATTCTTGAGATATTTTTATGTAATTTGCTGAATTGTAAAAATGAATTTGAATTCATAAAAGTTTAGCATACAAAGTTATATCTAGATAATAAATTTATATAGAAATGTCAGGATAAATTTAATGGTAAATTTCATACACTGGATGTACTACTTATACATATAATATAAACTCAAAGTAATTCAGCCTTGTATATCTATTTTTATTTTTCAAAGGACAAATATCGATAACCTACTGACCCTGTGCTAGGGTATAGAAAATTATAAAGCATATGAAATTGCAATAGTGGAAAATAGTTACGTCTTTTCTTTATTTATCTACAACATATTTTTTCTCATATCTCGCGGCAAAGGGACGGAGGCGGAGATATAAGCCAGATACTTGACGCTCATTTACTATTTTTCCACAAAAGTATCACTGAGTTTTGATTACGAGATATCAAAGAGCCAAGAGCATGCGGTAAAACGAAAAATAAACCCAAATATTAAATTTGCTTTCAAAATTTATGCATGCGCAAGTGCTTATAGCGACTGCTCGCCCTTAATGCAGTTCCAATGACGTACATCTAGATTTTTTTTCTAGAAAAAAACGGGGGGTGAAAATCTTTAAAATATTTTAGAATAATATTCAAAAAAAATTTTAATTAAAATAATTTAAAATTTTGTTCACAGTAGATTTATTAATAAAAATTAACAAAATTTTATTTCAATATCTTTTTTAGTAGTTTAAAAATTTTAAAAAATATTTGTTTAATTTTTAATATAAATTTCAAGCATATGTACAATTTAAAAAAAAAAAATGTGAGTATTTTTTAAAAATTAAAAAAGGTAAATTTTGACTTTTGATCAATATTTAAAAAATAATTGTAAATTTATATTGAAAAAAAAAATATTACTACTTCTCATTAAATTTTAAATTATATTTAATTAAAAACATTTAAACTATAAAAATCTTATCAATGAAAAAATTCTAGTATATTCTTGAATAAAAAACATTTTCATTTTAAAAATAAATAAACTGAAACATATTTACCCTTAGCAAAATATAATTTATCAATACTGGAGACTAAAAAAACCCAAAAAATATCTGAAAAACAAATAGAGATGTTTGAGTATTTTTTAGAAATTAAAAAAGGTAAATTTTTACTTTTGATCAATATTTAAAAAAAATATTATGACTTTTCATTAAATTTTAAATTATATTCATTAAAAAATATTTAAACTATACAAATCTAATCAATGAAAAAATTCTAGAATATTCTTGAATAAAAAACATATTTATTTTCAAAATAAATAAACTGTAACATAATTTACCCTTAGCAAAGTATAATTTATTACATTATCAATACCGGGGACTAAAAAAACCTAAAAAATATCTGAAAAACAAATAGAGATGTTTGGAATGAAAACAAAGAAGAAATAAATACATAAAACAGCGGAGTTGCCAACAGTAAATTGGCGCGTTGCGGTACCAACAACATAGTGGGGTTAAAAATAAGTAGAATAAAAATGAGCGATCGCGCATGCCCAATAATTCAACCATTTATCTGGAATCCCCGGCCTGTGTGAGTTAAAATTACACTGAGCAGAGTTGTGCACGTATATATCCCACACGTACAAGAGCTTGAAGGTTGAACCATCAGCGCTATATATACATTACCTACATACCCAGCTACCTACCAACGAAAAGCATCACTGGCACAACGTTACCGTCACTGCAACGTTATTGATTCGGTCATAAGGAGGTAGTAGGTAGTGTAACACTGACTAGAGTCAGGCTCTATCTATTCCCGCAGCTGGTTTCTCCTCCAGCAGTTGCTCAGTCCAGACTAGATTCCAATCTAGAGCTAAACACCTACACACCAACACCGTTCTAACATTATTACTATTCATAACAGTTGATACCATTATCAGCAACGAGCAAGCGCCGTTGGTACCATGTCCGTCATCCTGGTTAGCTGCCAGTGACTATTTACTCAACAACTTGCTCCCCAGATTGTACTGACGCGCTTCACCTCCGGGACTTGATAATCATTTTTAAATAATCTATCTATCACCGTAATTAACCGATCATCGTTTTAGTGATTTTTAGTGGAGCTTATCAGTGTTCATCTCTGTTTTTTAACCGATTTATTCGCAGTATGGAAGGCGGAGGTTGATCGGAAAATAAATTCCAAGTTTATTTTCTTGAATTTAAACAGAGTGCAGATAGCTAGCTGGTTGGTTGTCTGTTTAATAAATTAAATTACTTCTGGTAGATACTGAGGTGCTCCAAGAAGACTACTTCAGAACAATGAAGACTTTTTGATGTCTTGAGATCGTAGGTCAGTAAATTGTTGGAAACATTGGCACGCGGTCGACGTCCAGATATATTTTGCTGCGTGTGGACGTCGACCGTTAAAGATCCAGAGGGTGAACGCGGCCACAGTTGCGCAGTTTATGATTACTTGGGAATCATGTTATTGAAAAAATTTCAGCTGAAGAAATAATTTATAAATAAATATATAGATCTATATATATATATATACGTTTGTAATAATAATATTAAATACTTTTACTGTGATGGAAGTGTGATCGTGGGTTAATTAATAGCAATTGCAATTAGTATTTATAATTAAAAAATAGCGGGATAAATCAAAAATGTTTTAACGCGCGATATAACCAGGTACCTGGATGTTGAAGAAACATTTATTGAATAAAAGAGAAGTTTAATAATGAAGAATGAAGATAAAAATAGATTTATTTTAAAAGCAGTTTGTGAAATAGTTATTTTATTATTAAATTTTTAATTATTTATTGTGTCGATTTGTACGAGTGCATCATATCGATTTCCGGTTGTAACGATTGGCTTAGTTAAACTATTAGCCAATGTTTTCCGGTTGCAATAAAATCTAAACCATTTTATTTTATGTTTACACATACGTACAAATTATTTATTAATAACAGTACTTTTTAAATAAATAAATATTTTAAAAACTATTTTTATATACATAGTCTTTCGACTGTTTAAAAACTATTTACAAGCTAATTAAATTGTTGAAGAATATTTATCTAAATATTGATGATAATAATAATTAAAAGTAAATAACGTCCTAGTAAACTAGTAGTATTTTATTAATTATTAATGGTTTTTAATTATATGGAGCATAGTTTTAACTCTGACAGAAGAGATGTAAGATGCGCAGAGCTTATAAAATATTTACATTGTATGTAATGTATACATTGGTTATTTGCGGCGTTAAATTTGCAATAAAAGAATTTTCGAGTTTAATGTCTATTATTATGAGACACAAAGGATTCGATGATTAATTAAATTAATTAAAAATCAAAGAAGAAATAATAAAATATTTTATTTATTCTTATCAAAAGAAAAAACTTTTAATAAATCAAAATAAAATACTCCAAGTATTTTTTATTTATCAATAAGTCTTGTAAATTATTATTATTATTATTATTATTATTATTATTTATCACTTGCATCCATAAATTAAACCGTAATAAATAATAAGTAGTAAGAGAAAAGAGTTGGCAGCAACTGGAAGACAATAATGGAAGCCACCCTTGATGAAGAATCCATCCAGCGTCGTCATCGAAGACAATTGCGAGAATGTGGGACAGTGACTGAGAAAAAAGGGAAAATAAAGTAAAGCAAAGCAAGAGAACATCAAGCAGTCAGCCACTAGTGCACTAGGAAGCTCTGTTATTTAACCGTTAGATCTAAAATGATGGCGAGCTTTGCTTTTACTACTAAAACATTTGTCTGTGCTTGGGTTCTTATATTACGCTCACCAATATAGACACAGACACTGTCATTGTTGTTATTATAGCAGGTGTCTGAGTGAAGCATGGTAGATCAGGGATGGTCACTGGGGTGTGCGTCTAGTTTTCCAGATCTGCTGGCAGTGAGCGGTGATACCAGTGTAGCCGATGGTTACACCGATCTCAAAACTCTCCACAGAAAGCAGTGCAAAAAATTGATCTGTCTGTGCAAGCGACACACCATAAGTGTTATTAATATTAACGACACTAAAAAACTTTATTGGTACAATTGCAAAAGTGTTGAGGAAAAAGTCAACCAAGTTGGGGTTGAGGGCTATTACTGCAAGTTACTGAAAATAATTAACGGCGCGCTCAGTACTTGGGCTCATCGGTACATTGACGGTTTGAGTTACGCCAAAAAGGGTATTATGTACAAAATGAACGGCTCGTCAAAGAAAAGTTTGAAGCTCCTCAAAGAGAGCTGCTATTGTCATTATCATCCCCATCTTACTGCGGATGATTGCAACGCTGAGTTTTTGAGAAAGGTCGTCAGTTTTGATCCGGAAATAAGGTTCACTAATGGCTTCGTTGGCAAGAAGGTAAAGGTCCTGACTCACGGGGTGAATTTTTATTTTATAAAGCCTGTTATTTACCCCAGGAATTTTTTTTTAAACGAATAATTGGATATCATGACACGCTTGAAATTGAAATGTCAGGGGTTATTCATTTTTAGATTTTTTTTTATGTTTACTCGTTAAGTTTGAGTTAACATGACGTTTTTTATGACAAGGAGCTGTAAAATACTTTGATTTTTAATTTAAACATTGTGGAATTCATTCATTTTATTTCAGTGAAGCTTGATGATAAAACACTGTTGACGTTGAACAATATTCTGGTTCATTGCGAGCAATTAATAAGTATCTTCGTTTTTATTGAAATAAAAAAAGTTGTTAAATAAATTTTTGTCCTTCAATTGAGAGCACTTAAAACATTTAACGAATGTTTTTTTATTTTTATCCAAATAATTCTTATGACGTAAGCATTTAATTGGACAGGATTTAATTATATTTGGCTTATGATTATAATCAGTTAATTGGATAGAATAATGAAGCGTGAAATTTTAAATAATTTCATTAGTCGATAATTGTTTTTGAAAGATTTTAATTAAATAATTAATGACAATGATTGACTGGAGTTTAATTTAAAATTTTAATTATTTTTACAGATGTCAGATGACGACCGTATGTCACTAACAACAGCGGTAAGCGATGATGACGACGGAGAGAGTGTTATGAATTCACCTTACCGCGGGAAGCAAACTGGTACTGCAGCTGCTTCATTTAACTGCACCGGAGCAGTGCGAAAAGCTGGGTACGTCACCCAATTTGCCGTAATTGGCATATTGTAACATCCATTTTATCATGTGACACTTAATTTATCTTTTACCATAAAAAAAAGAACCGTCTCCTTCATTTAAAAATAATTCCTTTTGTACTTTTGTCGCTCCAGTTATCTCAGCGTTAAAAAATGGTTGCTGCGCAAAAAGCATCAAATTGAATTGGCGAGGAAACGCGGTTGGAAGGGCTACTGGGTATGTCTGAAGGGTACAACCCTATTGTTTTATCCCTGTGAGTCCCAAGAAAGCCGAGCTGTTGAGACTGCTCCGAAGCACCTTATTATAGTGGATGGAGCGATAATGCAACCGATTCCGGAGCACCCTAAGCGAGATTACATATTCTGTTTAAGTACTGCATTTGGAGACGCTTACTTGTTTCAGGTAAAAATTTTATCAAATAAAATTTATTTTTTAAAAATAAGAGATTCAGAAAAACAATTAATTTTTTAGCTTAAAATTTTTATTACACTTACATTTATTTATTCATTAAATTTTGATCTTGAGAGCAAGTGCTCCTTAAAGAGGATCATAAAGAAGTACATTTCATACCCTTATTAAAAAAAAAGATCTAAAAAAATTCAACCCATCCAAAATGTATATCGATATTAGGGTGTGCCAAATTTAAACTTCAGTGATGGACCTCTTAAAATTGGAATTTTGAGTTTTGATTTTAACAGGAGCTGTGTTTGGGCATTTTCTGAGGTATTTTGAGCGTAAGAGATTTATTTGATTTTCATATAATTTTCTAACAGGAGTTTTGTTTGGCCAAATTTTGAAATTTTTTAATTTCAGCAAAAATGCCTAAACAAAACTCCTTTTAAAAAATTCTATGATAATCAAATAAATCCCTTAAGCTCAAAATTTCTCGGGAAATGCCCAAACACGTAACTCCTGTTGCAGAACTCAAAATTTCAATTTTAACAGGTCCATCATTGTAGTTCGGCTGCCCAATTTCAAAACACAGTAACTAACATTTAAAATTTTTTTTAAATTTTTCTTATTAAAAAAAAGTTTGCCTGCCAAATTGATGAAAAATTTGATTTATGAATAGAAAATACTTAAATATAAATATTTTTAGGAAAAAAAAAACTTGAAATTAAGATCTAAAAGTAATAAAAAATGCAGCAATATTAAAAAAAATTAGGTATAAAAATTTTGTAATTACTGTGTTTTAAAATTGGGCAGCCGAGTTTAAATTTGGCATATCCTAATCTATATATTTGTCAAGTCGAGTTGTTTTTATTTGCTTTAAATTAAGCCATTTCGAATCGTTTTAAATCTTTTTTTTTTTTAATAAGGATAATGCGTACATATTAAAATTAATGTAATATTTGAATATTAGAACATAATAGATTAATTATAAATAATATAACATGATAAGTAACATGATAACATGACATAATAAGTAATAATAAGAAATATTGTTATTGTCATTGACTCTTTACAACATTGTTTTGCACAGTTTCAAAAATCTCTATTAAAACATGCTTATTGCAACAAGATCAGACGGGAGCTGATTCCAAGACCTTATAGATGTTAACAGAAACGAACGCTCAAAAGTAACTGTTTAGTCGCAAAGAAGAAAAATATAAAGCTCTATATGCTGGTGGTTGTTTTTTACTAGCGACTTCCGCACTTATACTTGTCTTCTTAGTTTTCTAAAGAGTCTAGACACTTGTAAACCGAGAATTTATCGACGATCGGTAGACATACAATGCCACTCCATGAAAAACTATGAGTTTTTGTTTTTCAGGCTCCGTGTCAAGTGGAACTCGAGAACTGGGTGAATAGCATTCACTCAGCCTGTGCCGCGGCTTTTGCCCGACACCGTGGTAAAACTGGTACTTTACATTTACTACAGGAGGAAATTTTCCGGTTGGAAAAAGCCATTGAGTCGGTGAGTTAATTTAATAGATCTTTAATTCAACATTTTTGGCTGTACTGAGCACTTAGCTTTGTTTTATTTCTTCAGAGGTTCGCTTGCGAAAAAACTTGAAATTTTTTTTATCCGAGATGAAAAATTTTAAGTAAAAAATTTTTTTTTATTTCTTCTTTGATATTTTTTTATTTATAACATTGATTATGAAGAAGAATATTAACTTGAACGTCTTGATTTAATTTGTCAGGATTACAAATTGAAGCACATGGCTGATCTTCAGCAATCCGTTGTCTCTGACATTGAAACTAAGCAGGAGATTAGTAACCAGATTGTTCAATGGGAAGAGAATCTCGAGCGTCTTCACTGCGAGCAATTCCGTTTGAGATGTTATATGGCAAGTTTGCAGAGTGGAGAATTACCCAATCCGAAGGTACGTCACTTTATAAATAGTTCTGTCAGAATTTTCCTCAAGCGACGATGAAAAATTTATCGATCGATGTTTCATGACGCTTATCAGCGAACATAATTGCGTGAGAGCGAACATTCATGTTATCTAATTAAGATAATTAGTGGTGTGTTTCAGGCTTATCATTCAAAGCTGATATTTTTAAGCCCACTATTTTAAAATCTTTATTTTTGGTCGGCTTTGATGAATATATTAATTAAGTTTAATTATGAGTATATTTCTAAAGGCTTCTACAGCAGCCTTGAGAAAAAAAATACTTTTGTAGATAAATATTTGTTGATTAAAAAAATCGACTTCTTCATAATGTATTTACTCTCAAGGATTTTAAAAAGTTTTTTAATTCAAGTTAGAGATAAAATTATTCATTTTAATTAAAATATTCATTAAAAAAAAATCCTTTAAAAATTTCTTCCACAATCAAACTACCAATTTTTTATTTATCAAATTAACTATATAAACTATCCGCAAATCAGGATCTTGAAACAATTCCAAATTTTAGATTTCTCTTCGTGGCAAAAATATATAATGATAAATTCCCGGGTACGGCCGTGACCTATAAAACGGTGCAAAGATTTATCTGCAATAGTTTACATCTAAAAAAATTTTCTTACAGCTTCTTCAATTTTTTTTTTTTTTAATAAAAAACAAAGTTATAGAAAAATAATAATAAAATTTTAATCAATGTAATTTTTGGCTGGATTATTTCAGAGTTTACTAACTCATGTATCAAGAGCAACAAAGCAAACCCTGAACAAACTTGGCGTATTCACAGTGTCCTCTTTCCATGCATTTATTTGCGCCCGAAGCCCGTCCTTGCTCAATAATTTGTTAGCTGGCCGCGGTGCTACTAAGCGAAGACCTCCACTTTTGTCAAGATCAAATAGTGGATCTAGTCGTAGGTCTCTGCAAATGTCCTCGAGGGATGACGAGAAGAGCGTTAAAGTTTCAGTGCCCGAAAACCAAGTAAGATACTTTTTTATTATTTATGATAGAGCATTCTGTTTGTTTTTTCATCCTCTTAGACTTAATACCAAGTATTGAGACCAAGCCACTTTATTTTAAATACACAAAAGCAATCAATTTCAAGAGCTGTAATACCTCTACTCAAGTATCAAGTATGTTAACTTTAGCAAAATCAGTTTGTAAACTTTTTATTAAACTAATAACCGGCAGTTTTACTTTCCTGTAGTTTAATTGCTCTTTTGAATTATCCGATTGAGATTTAAGCCCTGATTTATTGGGTTTATTCATTCCGTTTATCCTGCGACACTGTAATTAAAACTTTATCAATTATGCTTTAAATATTTAATATTATGATTTATTGTTATATTTTAAAAGTTTTATTGAACTTATGGTAGATATTTCTTCTGGATTAAAATTATTAATTATTTTATTTTAATTGAATACTTGGCTCTGTGTATTTTTACAATTAAGAAATATATAGCATGCAGTACTGAATAATTGAATTATAAAATTATTCATACTGTAATAAATTTTCAGAATTATTATTTACATTTTCGGTAAAACTATTTCGGATTCATAAAACCGTCAATTAATATTTACCGCTTTAATTAAATATTTTTGAGATAAATTTTGTGGTATAATTAAAGAAACAATTCATTTAAAACTTTAATTATTATTTTTAAAATTTTAAAGAGTTTAGTGATAAACTTTATTTGCAATAAAGCCGAGTAGTTTCAATAATTGAATTTCTTCCCGTGAGATATAATGTGGAGGAAAGAAATCGATAGTTTTATTTACATATAAATTTTATAGAATAGTTTTACTTCCAATAATGTAATTTTAAAAAGTTTATTCTGTTTTTTTTTTTTTTCTTCAGAGTTTTGTTTTCTTCACCTAAAATACATTTTAAGTTTTAGCGGAGTTTTTCACACCTTCTTAAGACTTCCAGCTCTTTATTTTATTATACTTTTAAAAACTTTTTTTCCTGTCGATATTTCCAGTGAAAGTTATAAAATAAATCCGCTTCCAGAAGTTATGAAATATATAAAAACACTCGATAAATTTATTTTTTAAATTTATTAACTCTCGTACGGAGCAGAGTGACTTTGACCTATTTTAAAGCTCAATATGTTGTAACTTTTGTTTTATTTTCTGCTTTGATTACTGCATCCTCCTGGGGTTCTGCTTTTTATTTCTTTTTCAAATATATATAAAGTGTAATCCAGGCTTAGTCATAAAATCAATCAACTTTAGCCTCTTTTTGCAATAATCTATGTCATTAGAGAAAAACCGCATTTATTTTCTGCTTAGATAAAATTTTATCAAACTAAACGTTTTAATTAAATTAAATTGAAAATTTACTTGCCGACTTTTTTATATTGTTTCTTAAAAAAATGAATCATATAATTAATTTTCGATAAATAATTTTAAGGGCTATAATTATCGAAGAAGAGGATTTTTCCCAAGTCTATGTTGTTCAAAAGTTGATCAACTGCAAAATAATCAAAGACCAAAAGATCGCTTTTAAGTACCGTAAAATGCTTTTGTTCTCTAAGGGCTCGGTCTCTATACCGATACTTGATATTTATAGTAACTAACGTAATTAATCCATAATTAATCTAAGTTTTAGTCAAAGCTTTATATTGTGATAAACTAATTTAACTCTGAGATATTTAATAATATCATATTAAAAAATAATCTTTCTTATCTTAAATTACTCAATTTATTAAGAATAAAGTTAATTAAAAATTCATGGTTAATATGGTTAATATATTATTTTAATTTGCTAATCATATATGTTTATCCTTTATAAAGGATCTATTTTAATCTATATTATTAAGAGAATAAGCAAAATTTTGTGGCCATAGTCAATTTATCATGATAAGTATTTAGGCTGCATTCAAAAATGCTTCATCTCTAGACATAATTAAGAAATGACCTTGTATCTTGTGAACCATTGACATTTTTAAAGATATAAGCTCATCCCAATGTTACACTCATCAAGACCTTTCATTTGAGTACCCACATCAATTTTTCATATATTTATATATATTACATATATGAATATATGAAAAATATATCGAAAATGCATGTGGGTACTCAAATGCAAGCTCTTGATAAGTGTAACATCAGAATGAGCTTATATCTTTAAAAATGTCAATAGTTAAAAAAATACAGTGCAATTTAACATAATTAAGAAATGACCTTGTATCTTGTGAGCCATTGACATTTTTAAAGATATAAGCTCATCCCGATGTTACACTCATCAAGACCTTTCATTTGAGTACCCACATCAATTTTTCATATATTTATATATATTATATATATGTATATATGAAAAATATATGAAAAATGCGAGTGGGTACTTAAATGAAAGCTCTTGAGGAGGGTAACATCGGAATGAGCTTAGATCTTTAAAAACGTCAATAGTTAAAAAAGTACAGTGCAATTTAACAAAAGTCATTATTTAATAAAGCAAAATTTTATTTATTTATATATAGTTCACAAGTCACATAGTTTCTACAAGGTTGTTAGTATATATTAAATACTTAACAAACTCCGGTACTTGTTAAATAATTTTTTAAAAAATAATTATGCTACTTTGAGACTAAAAACGAGCTAAGTTTTACCTTTTTATTTTAATTTATGTAAAAAAACTTTTTTATGTGATAAGAATGAAATTTTGAAAGTTAGTTTTTTATAAAAAAATTTGATTAGTTAATTAAAACTTTATAATAAAAGAATTAAATTCAAGACATTTATGCGTGAATAAATAAATTTATTTTTTAATTTAGTTTGTATCAGTTTTCCTCCGCGAAGGAATGACAGTCGAGGAGTTCTTGGCAAATGCCTGCAGCAGAAAAGGTCTCAATCCAATGGAGCATTTCGTCCGAGTGAAGAAACGACGTGAAATGGAAGACCATAATTACTTTGTGCCTCACAGGACAGATACAATTGAAACTTACGTAAGTTTGTTGTCGATAAAATAAAAAATAAATAAATAGTTTGTGATAAATCAATTGCAGATGTAGATTTCTCTATTTATTATTTTTTTTATGATTATACATAAATAAATAAAATTGAATTTTTTTTTCTGTTATAAAATAGCTACACACCCACGAAGTAGTCGAGGTCTGTGCAAAAATACTTTATCAAGTAGAACTTCAGCGAAATACTCTCGATCAAATGTGGGGCTTCTCCGTCGAGGCGGAACTTATAGAAAATTCAGATCGACAGGACGAACTCTGTTGTTACGTCAGTCGTGTCGAGGATAAAAGCGTAGCCATGCAAAATGGTGATTATTAAATTTACTTTTTAAACAAGTAAAAAGTCTGTTTTAATTAAAATACAATAAATAAATTTGACAGATTAATTTAAAATTTAAAAAGTACTTAATTGATTATTCTTAATGGCTGGTTGTTAATATATTGATGTATTTTTATTATTAGCAAGTATGATAATTTTAGAACAATTAGACGAGATGATTATTAATAAATTACGTAGTCAAGGATAATTACATACATCCACGCACGAGAACGTTTAATTGTGCTATTTGAAAAAATCGATTTTTTGTCAGTCACTCATCGGTGATCAAGTAAAGGTGAATGATGTTCGCTCCGATGGACTGAATATAATAACGCGCAACTATATTCTTAAGAAAATAGTTATGTATATATAAATAAGTATTGAAAAAATTTAACATTGGAAGGATATTTAAATTGGAAATTTTTATTAAAAAAAATTTTTTTTTATTATTTAGTAAAAAACCGTGGGTGAAAAAAATATAATTTAAATAATAAAAAATTATTTATTTTTGTACGGAAGTAAATAAACATTTTTAAGAAAAAGAAAATATTTAACAAGTAAGATTAATGTTTGATTATGTAGGAATTTATGGATAGGATTGATCATAAATAACGAGAAAACTCAATGGGCGTGTTTGGCCGAAGTAAGTACTTACTAAACTTAGTAAGCCAGTTAGCATAAAAAAATTTTAATCTTACAAGCTGACTATAGCGCTTTTCAGCCGGGACAGACTTACAGGCTTAGCATATAATACAAAATACCTACTTACGTTATATTTCGTACATAATCTCATAGTCTGAATATAATTGACACTGATAAATTTATTAATATAGTTTAATTCAAGTAAATAGTTGTAAATGGATAATTTTATGAGAAATATTTAATTGGAAGAAAAGTTAAACAACCCCTTAATCAACATAACATTTAAACTATAGATTGAGTATGAACAAATGATTACTATTTCTCTTATATTAAGAATAAGTAATATAAATTTTAACGATTATTGAAACAAACAGTCAATAGAGTAATTGAATTTAAAAAATATACATTTCTTTTCTGTCTTGTCATACTCATAGATCTCTTCTTTTAAATGATATTTGTGAAACTTGTCATAAGTTATAATACTATCAACAATTCTTTGCTTAATTGTTATCAAATATACTTAACTATCTATAACAATAGATATTTAACGTCAGTCATTTTTTCTAATTAAATAAGCAGTCTCTCTTAATCAAATTATCTATACATTTGTTATAAAAGATATAAAAAAATTAATTAAAATCAGAACTACACTGTGTAAGTATAAAAAATTCAAATTAATTTAAAGTATAGTTTTGTAACACTACATCTCATATAATATCTTATGAAAAAGATCTTTTCAAGTACCTCTTAAAGCTTTCTATCAAAGAAAGTAATTAAATATCTTATTGCATAGAATAACCAATATAAATTCAATTCTATATGCTTCGGTCTGTTTTGTTTACATCAATAATAAACGAAAAATCGTCTCATATTAAGCCATG